TACCCTTTTAATTCATTTTTCAGAAGATAAAAGGGAGGCGGATGGTATGAAATAGAGATGTTATATTACTGGAATGTTTACTTTGTTTGATGAAATCTTGCATGTAGGAATTTTCAGTAAAACGTAAAAATCATACTTTTTATGGTATTAAGGCTTCCTCCAAACTAAGCATAAAGATAATCAATTTGAATAAAAATAAGTAAAATAAAAAATATTATCATTTCATTTGAGATAATACTTAAAGTGATTGGGAAGAATTTATTTAGGTCATCATAGATCGTTTAAAAAAATTAATTTGGTGGATAAAATTATTCAATAGATCAAATATCATAGAATATAACACATTGGCTATGGTGGCATCGATTGTCATATATATTTGGTTTGGGCTTTTTTATATCAACTTAACTAATTGTGGCTAACTAAAATGCCAAAAATTTTAATTCAAGAAATCGCAAATATTTTGGTATAATTTTACCTTCTAATTTGACTATAGTATGCAACCATATTATGCAAATGAGTCATTAAAAATTACCATGGGTCCTTCTTCACCACGTTCACCCGGTGGGCCTTCCATTCCCTTCTGTCCCGGCATTCCCGTCTGTCCGGGGCGACCAATTGAGCCTTGTGGGCCCGGAGGAACATATTGGTCCGTAGTGTCTTCTACTTCTAGCCGGCCTGGCTCACCAAGCTGGCCCTTACGTCCACGGAAACCTTTGTCGCCTTTAGCGCCCTGTAGGTATTATAGAATATATAAAATCATAATTATAGGATAATAAAATTATCTGGATAATAAAAAAAGAGGATCTTGTTAAATACACTTGTGATTATTATATATTTGCATACATACATACATACATACATACATACATACATACATACATACATACATACATACATACATACATATATATACATATATATATAGCACGTATACGCCAGTCTCACTGAGCAAGTCCCTTAAACCTAAATTCTCAAGTAACATAGGCGCCTAACTTGACGCTGCAGATTCCCTTGTTAATGTGCCACATGCGCACCGAGTAAATCTCGTAGTCAAGTCTTTACTTCCTGGACCACCTCTGTGGTCAAACTTATCTATTAATAGCCAACTATAAATAGTCTCCGCCGTATCTCTCGTTCTTCTATCTCTAACGCCATACCTATGACTTTCTAATGCCCTAGTCTCTTGTCTGCAGACCCCAAAATGTGACAATTCTAGTTTATTCGAATAGGTTCACTGTAGACGTTTCCCCTTGGTTTCCGATAATTTATTTCTGGTTTCCTTGTAATGCCTTTTGCTAAAATCAAAAATATAACATGATCCGACCATTTTCTCTTTACTGATATTGCTGTTCACTTATCTTTTCGGAGTCTGCTTAGGCAACATGCAAGCATTCTGCTAATCTTGTCTTCTTTAAGTCTTTTTCTCATTAGTTTCTTTCAGTCAAGACATGCAGCAAACCTTTTTGCCGATTTTATATCCCGTCCGTGCAATGAGTTCTGCTATTTCGGATCTTTCTGTATCCATGTTTCTGAAGAGTCTTTGTTGTTCCTTGATTCGTATACTGATTTGTATTTATGTTTCAACAATATACTTCTGCTCATAGTTGCCGCATTTGATGCTATAGACTCCCAAAAAAAATCTAGTTTGGCAATCGCCTGTTGCCTGTGCAGGGTGGTGAAGAGTATTGTCTTTTGCTTTTTTTATCACCTTGATATTCCATTATCTTAGTAACCGCCGCAATTTTGTGATTCAGTTCACAGGAGGGCAGACATATCGCTTTTGGTCGTAAAGCTGATTCCTGACCATATTTTCATAAAATCTGTTGAAATCTACCGTTTTTAAGCCTTATATTTCTTTCTATAAATTCTCTAGAGTACCCATTACTAAGGAAGTTTTGAGTTAGT